CCCCAAAACCCCAAAACCCCAAAACCCCTATTTTATTTATATTTATTGAATGTTCAACCATTATGCAAGAAAAAGTCTCGAAAATGAGAGGCTGAAAATCAGTATGGTTATATTTCCAAGTATTCTCCACCTCCAAGCAGTCAAATTTATTATGTTATATAGATAAGGAGAAGATAGCAAGGAAGAATGCCCAGAATGCATCATCTAATCGAGGAATTAGGTTAAAATATTCCTAAAATGGACTCCTATCCAACCCCAAGCTCTAGTAATTATACACTCGAGCCTGATAATTTGAGGAAGGATCCTAGATTCAAAATTGTTTTGAATGATGTCCTGAAGTACGGCTCAAAAGAGAAAGGCAAAATAGTTAATTTTAAATTCCGACCTGGCAATGAAAAGCCCAATTTTTATATAAGGCGTTACTCTCCAGAGAAGGAAAGGATTGCAGAAACTGTCAAGTTCAATCAGAGCTTGTTCCTCGATCGAGAGCCACATCACCGATACGGGCTCACTATTAACAACAGGTACTTTCCTTCATAAAACTTAGTGGAAAGACAAGAGAGAGTGCCCAGTCCTTAGATATTGCCAAAACTATGTCGATTCAAGAACTTAATAGTAAGATAATCTTACGAAAATAGGTGCTAAAAGGAGAAATAAGATAACTAAAATTCATAAGGAAAGAAGTCAGATCCTTGAACTCCCTGAGTCCCTTAAGAAAGGAATGACCAGTGATTTCACACCTTGCCAAGATAGACGGATGATAGAAAGACCGAACTGGAGGCAGCATGATAAAGAAAAATGGACAGATATTACAAAGAAAGGCATTCTTCCTTCTTACCATGATTTCGGCAGAAGGACTACTAATGGGTTCAATAATATTGTTAAGGGTAGTCTGATTGGCTCAGAGGGATATCCAACTTCTTCATTGGAGAGATACAATCCATATATTAACTCACTTCATGAGTTGGGACACAAGTTTAGAACTAGAAGGTCTCAGAAAGAGATTTCGACAAAGGATTTTTCTAGCCACACTTCCAAAGATATTGTAATGAAAAGTTCCCCATTCTTGAGCAAGAGCATTCGAGGAGCTGAATCTGAGTCCAAATTCAAGCTTGCCAAGAAGAAACTTCAAAAATTGATGAATCCTCGTTACATGATTGATAGAAGGTTTGGAAATAAATTTAATTTCTCACCAGACCAGGACGATTATAATTTTGATTCTCCCAAGAGAAGAAATGAGGGTGGAAGATTGGAGAAGTATACTTTGAAGATTAGTAGATCTAACTCCCAATCACTCAACAAAGACCTTCCGATTCTCCAGCTCAAGTCAAGCCTTACTGAGGATGGCAGCATAAATTAATCTTTCAATTTATGCTGTGAAACTCGGGGTTTTGGGGTTTTGGGGTTTTGGGGTTTTGGGG